TCTACATGCTGCCACTGGGAAACATTATTAAAAAGCATGGAATTAATTTCCACTGCTATGCAGATGACACACAGCTTTATCTGTCGATGAAGCCTAATCAGACAGATCAGCTAGAAAAGCTCAGTGCCTGCATAAAGGACCTTAAAATGTGGATGACTCTTAACTTCCTACTTCTCAACCCGGAGAAGACAGAAGTGATCCTACTCGGTCCGAAGCGCCTGCGTGACTCCCTCACTAACCAGATGGTTACTCTCGATAATGTCAGTATAATACCCAGTAACACTGTGAGGAATCTTGGAGTCATTTTTGACCAAGAACTCTCCTTCAAGGCTTATATAAGCCAAGCAACTAAAACGGCGTACTTCCACTTACGGAACATCGCTAAAATTAGGAATTTCCTTCCTAAAAGTGACGCGGAAAAACTCATTCACGCGTTTGTCACCTCAAGGCTCGACTACTGTAACGCTTTACTGGCAGCGTGCCCTAAAGCCTCTTTGAAGAGCTTCCAGCTCGTTCAGAATAGAGCAGCTAGGATCTTAACAGGTACCAAAAGGAGGGAGCACATAACTCCGGTGTTAAAATCACTCCACTGGCTCCCTGTGGAGTACAGAATAAAGTTTAAAATCCTACTCTTAACATATAAAGCCATAAATGGCTTGGCTCCTTCTTATCTCCAAGACACGTTAGTGTCGTATCAACCAGGTCGAGCGTTGCGCTCACAATACGCCAGACGTCTGGTGGTCCCTAAGGTCTCAAAGGTCACTGTTGGTGGCAGAGCATTTAGCTACCAAGCTCCTTTACTGTGGAATCAGCTTCCCATTTATGTTAAGGAAGCAGATACGGTCTCCACATTCAAGGCCAGGCTTAAAGCACTTTACTTTAATTTAGCATATAATTAGGTAATATATAATATGTAGTGTATATATTATATATATATATGCTGTATTATGTTATATATTATGTTATATATTATTCAATAATGTATTGTGTTATGTTGTATATTATGTTATATATTATGCTGTATGTTATTCTTTATTCAAGGCTAGGTTTAAAACAGTCCTCTTTAGTTTAGCATATGGCTAGGAAGGTAAGACTCGGAGAAGGTTAAACTCCTCAGAGTGTTAGTCAAGCTGCATAGGGAGTCAGTTTGCTGGGAGAAGTATGGTAACTTGAGCACTATCCTCTCCTCCTTCCTACTTTATCTGTTTAGCATTTTTAGGATTCTGACTGTAGTTTGTTCATTGCTATTCACCCGTTGTCCCATTGTCTGTTTCATGGTACGATGACGGGATCTCTGAGCCTGGCCTCTTCCATCTACACCTGCGGACTGCCCCGCCCGACCCGCCTGGGAGTGCTTCAGTCCTGCACCGGACCTGTCCACGTTCAGCGTCCACTGGTCCACGTTCTGTAGCTAGCTTAGGTCCTGGATCATTAGTCTGTCCGTCCGGAGGAGCGGATCCCTTTCTCATATGGGTCTCCCTCCCTGTGGGTTTCCCTAGTTCTCCTCCAAGGTTTCTCACTTTTTCCCACTGGGTTTTTTAAGAGTTTTTCCTTGTCGATGCAGGAGGGTCTTGTTGGACAGTTAGTGTCCAACAGAAAGGATTGGTGATGATCAGGACACTTTAGCATTCTACAACATGTATGGACATTTTCTTCTGTGTGTGCTTTATACTGTATTCTTCATGTGTTTTAACTGTTGATTCTCTGACCTGTGTTGGTGATTTCAATGGTTTTGTTAAGTCCTCTGAGATGACTTCTGTTGTGACCTAGGGCTATACAAGAATAAATTGTATTGTATTGTATTGTTTAACCTGGGTCTTAAGAGTTCAATGCCAACTTTAAGCAGATCGGCGGCAGCAGAACTCGGTGAATATGTGACTTGTTTATAATATGAGCTTAGGAAGGCGTCTTTGTGACAGACCTCATATTGATCTTGGAAATGACTGGAGCTTCAGGGTCTGCAAGTAAGGCCAGATGGATTTGGGAAATAGTTTTAACTCTGAAGTATGTTGGCTTGGGATAATACCAGCTCTGTGGTTATAAAGTCAGATGTATGTGAGAAAAGCACATTTCAGATCATTCTAGGTTTGGAAAAAGTCAGAGGATTTTGTCTCTGGCCAGGAACCGTGTGGATTTCTTGTGGATCGCCGTGATGTGTGTCTGATCCGGTACTCTTAGATCTTCTGTAAAGACTCGGTTGAACGAGTGACTTTGCTTCAGTTAAAAGCACCAGGAAGATGTTCTTAGATCACCATTCGTCTCAAACTTTATTCCTACAGTACACAAATATTAATCATGCCGTTTTTTTAAAATAACCATCCACAACCAGTGGTTCAAGGTCAGAGACAGACTTTTCTCTGATTGGTCAGAAACGACCCAAAGAACCTCCTTCCTACATGTCAAAAATGTATTGACGTTTGGAATGGTGAAAGAGGAGCACAATAAAATGTGCTGGGCGTAACCACAATGCACTGGTTTGACCTAGTTTTATAGTAAGTCTACACAAGGGGGCAGCGTGTCCCAGCCGGTGGTGTTTGGCAGCGTAATGTTGGTTCACTGGTATGTCCTGTTTAAATTGAGACGAAAAACAGTTTTGAACCACTGCCAAGGAAGGTAGTGTGAGTTTAAAGGCTTCTGAACTGGTGCCTGACAGAATCAAGGCATCAGTGGAGGAGGATCGCAACATAGAACGGCCCATCTGTGGAACCAGAGACCATGTGACGGAGAACCTCCCACTTGTACCATTGATCATTCAAACCATCTCCATATTTCATGTTGCTCCATACAGTACATGTTATTGTGTCTTAAATTCTATGTGAAACGAGGGGTAGAAATAGACTAACTTTGTTTAGTTTGTGTATGTAGCAGGACTTGTTCTTTCAGCTCATAAAGGATTCTCCAGTCTTCTGTCTTTTCCCTCGTATGTTTTAAGACATTCCGCCCACTCTAAACACTTCTAACAATTCCCATAACCTCCCACTTATCCCTGCATGCCTTTGTCTTAGCCATGTGTGCCACACTGGCCTCCCATTTCTCTCCACACTTAGTGCTTGCAGTGTTAGCAGGGACCAGAGCGCATCAGCCATATTTTATTTACCTTCCACCTGGGTCGTCCCCATGCATTATTTAGGAACCAGGAAGGAGCAGCCCTGCGATTAGCACGGCACACGCCAGCTCCCATCCCGCTGTCGGCCTGACGGATGTGGGGTGAGCGCAGTTTATAGCCAAACCCCTGCTGCGGGAGGGAAGGTCAAATATGCACTAAGATGTGGAATATTTAACATGCCAAATTGACGTTGTGGTAGTTAGAGGTTGAGGCAATGTTGTAGTGGTTTTTCCTTGTCAAATACTCACTCACAGATGCTCTTTTGAGCAATGCAGGTATTTCTGAATAATTAAAACCTACAGCTCCTGTCCTAACCAAGAGCAGCAAGATCTAAAAAGGTCCCTAGGCTCTGCGCAGAAGGGACCGCTCCTTCAAGTGCAGAAGAGTTAACTGTAAATGGCTGGGATTTTTTCTGAATCTGTGATATGTGGATGATTCGGCAGCATTGCACAGGTCTTTTTGATTGGAGGAAAAATAAATCTCTGTAGTCAGAGAAGAGCCGTTAGGGCTTCCCATCAAGTTTCCAAAATGTTTTTTTTGTCTCACTTGGGAGAAACTTGGTCCAAACCGATGGGACTGCAACATTGGCATTAAAAGTAACCAAAAAAGGCAAACAGATCCATCGGGGACACCGGAGCAACACACTGTGTTGTGTAGATGTTCTGACAGAAAAGAGTTGTTCTGTTTGTAGGAAATGCATTCATTTTTGCCTGAACACGCTTGCTAAGAAAAGTAGGTAGAGCACTGAGCAGCACAGCAGGGCTGAATATTAGGGTTTTATTATTACCGATATATTATTTGAAATATTGATATTTCAAATATTTGAAATATAAAATGAACCACATGTATAAACCAAACATGTGTTACTATCACAGTTTCATGATACAAGGTTATCATTCTATCCCAGCAATTTGTATCATCATTCAAGGAGTATAAAAGGCTTTTTTTCTATAACGTGTTTCCTTTGATAGCGCATATGTTTCCATAGTCCATTCAAGTGTGAAATCATGTACAATGACAAGACAAAGCTCCCCTACCTTTCCTTATGGCTTACATCCCACACAGCAGGTAATGGCTTCAGAGCGGTGTGTGTAGTGGAGCTGGTGGGCAGGCTCCGTGTGGGGGTCCACAGCAGATCAAAGCGAGGAGTGTGGACACGAGCAGAAACATGGGGAACAACAATGTCACATTCATTCTCTCAAAAAGGAGGGATGGGAATTGCTTAAAAGCATCGAATATCCCAAATAACTTACTATAACAATTTACTTTACAAAACTGTCGAGAATCAAACAATTCAAACACAGGAAATGAATGATAAAAAACACATACGGCCATTGAACCATAAGGAGTGGATGACCAATGTCCAAAAATGGTAATAAATGTTTGCTGAAAACTTTGCTGAATATTTTTATGTTGTAAAGCAGTGTTCCCAAACCTTTTTGAGTCGTGGCGCACCTTTGTCAGTGCAAAAAATCATATGGCACACCACCAACTGAATTTGCCTTTATTAACAAAGCAGATTAATTCTCATCAATGTGTATTAAATAGAAAATCAAACAGGCACAACACATTTTTTTCTAATCATCTCACAATATTTTCTTTTCAACCAAGCAGGTGATATTGGATCATCTCCAAGGCACACTAATAAACATCTCAAGGCACACCAAAGTACCACTTCAAACTGGTTGAAAAACACTGTTGTATAGAACTGGACCCATTTTTACATTATTTAATTCACTTTGGCCAAAAAAATAAAAAATAAAAATAATTCTAAGGCCTATAAACATTCATTTTTTATTTTTGCCTTTTTTGTAGTTTTAATTGTGAAATAGTTGCCACTCATTGTTCAATTGCAGACCGAGTTTTTGTTTGGTCAGCCTCAAAACATTGGACCATGGTGAGGGCCCCAAACCTCCCCGATGTGGCCCTCAGATGGTTGCTGTCGATACAGACTGTGTGTACGTCACCACCTCTCACCAAACTCGCCGTCAGGACCTTTGTGCTTTCCTGCGTCACCGGGCCTCTTCCCTGCTGCTTGCGCCTTGCACTGCTAATGAGACAGCAGGGGAGGGGTGGGGGCTCAGTGGGGGGCGGACCTTTGCTGGCGGACCCCTGTTCACTGGGACGACCTTTAGACGAGACCCCCCCATTGACACGGCTATGAACTAAACGCTCTCAACCTTGTAACGACTCGGTACTAGCGCCTGTCAGTGTCTTTCTGTGGGTTCAATATACGTGCAGACCACTCTTGTCTCAGTATACATGCAGACTCAGACCTCTCTGTCTCAGTATACATACAGACTCAGACCTCTCTGTCTCAGTATACATACAGACTCAGACCTCTCTGTCTCAGTATACATACAGACTCAGACCTCTCTGTCTCAGTATACATGCAGACTCAGACCTCTGTCTCAGTATACATGCAGACTCAGACCTCTGTCTCAGTATACATGCAGACTCAGACCTCTCTGTCTCAGTATACATACAGACTCAGACCTCTCTGTCTCAGTATACATGCAGACTCAGACCTCTGTCTCAGTATACATGCAGACTCAGACCTCTGTCTCAGTATACATGCAGACTCAGACCTCTCTGTCTCAGTATACATACAGACTCAGACCTCTCTGTCTCAGTATACATACAGACTCAGACCTCTCTGTCTCAGTATACATGCAGACTCAGACCTCTCTGTCTCAGTATACATGCAGACTCAGACCTCTCTGTCTCAGTATACATACAGACTCAGACCTCTCTGTCTCAGTATACATGCAGACTCAGACCTCTGTCTCAGTATACATGCAGACTCAGACCTCTGTCTCAGTATACATGCAGACTCAGACCTCTCTGTCTCAGTATACATACAGACTCAGACCTCTCTGTCTCAGTATACATACAGACTCAGACCTCTCTGTCTCAGTATACATGCAGACTCAGACCTCTCTGTCTCAGTATACATACAGACTCAGACCTCTCTGTCTCAGTATACATACCAGGGACGTGCAGTCAGGGGAGGCAGGGGAGGCAGAGCCTCACCTGCCATTATTGGAAACTAATAATTATTTTAGTTTAAATATATAATTTATATCCACTGTCCTATGCTTTTAATGTATATTCGGCACGGTTCCCATCAGTTTTGATCATTTCTGAAGTCAAAATCGCCGAAATCCCGTTATTCCTATTCAAAGAGACGAGGTGAGGCAGCGCTCCTGCGTGCCTCACCTCAGACCGCTCCCTCACAGTGTGTGTGTGTGTGTCTGAGTGCACTCAGCTCGTGCAGTTGATATATCACCGTTTGTTTCAAATATCCTGCTTTAAAAACATTTTTTAAACTCCTCTTAGTGTTTAGTAGTGTATTGCACGTATGTGTGTACAATTTATATTTAGTTTAAGTCTTTTGATCGTAGATGAACACACAAGGAAAAAGCTTGACGTGAGGCAGGCGGTATCTGTGCCTCACCGCTAGGGGTGATAGTGAGCATAAAGTTCATACCAGAGTTGCTAACAAACAATCAGCCCAAAATGCTATTTCTTTTGCTGGAAAATGGATGATTTGAATGAAGATTTTTTTTCTCAATTGGACTTTCAAACAAAGAAAGAATTAATATAGACTGGGAGACCACCACTGGACTTACGAGGTTAGTCCGGCTGCGGGGGAGGAGTTTGTTAATCTGTGTTTTATGTTGAACATTGACAGATACCGGCAAAGTAGTGCTTTTCCGAAAAACACTGATTCAAACACTGCTCAAGAGTTCTGCAACTTGTTTAAATTATTGTTTATGTTCCTCGCGTCTCTCTCTCCTCGCGTCTCTCTCTCCTCGCGTCTCCGTCTCTCTCTGCTCCTCGCGTCTCCGTCTCTCTGCTCCTCTCTGTCTCTCTCTGCTCCTCGCGTCTCCGTCTCTCTGCTCCTCTCTGTCTCTCTCTGCTCCTCTCTCCTCGCGTCTCTCTCTCCTCGCGTCTCCGTCTCTCTCTGCTCCTCGCGTCTCCGTCTCTCTGCTCCTCTCTGTCTCTCTCTGCTCCTCTCTCCTCGCGTCTCTCTCTCCTCGCGTCTCTCGCACCTGCGCTTCTTAAAGATGTTGTTTGATGCGGAGCAGAGTCAGCAGCTAGATTTGTTGTGAGATTATTAAAAGAAGCTGGTTCTCTTATCTTTACAGTATATAAAGTTTGTGGATGTCATTGCATTGGCGATTAAATGCTATTTTATTTGAATAATGATTGTAAATCTGACTTTTAAAGTCAGTGCCTCCCCAATCACAAACCTCACCGCACGTCCCTGATACATACAGACTCAGACCTCTCTGTCTCAGTATACATACAGACTCAGACCTCTCTGTCTCAGTATACATGCAGACTCAGATCTCTGCTGTCTCAGTATACATGCAGACTCAGACCTCTGTCTCAGTATACATACAGACTCAGATCTCTGCTGTCTCAGTATACATGCAGACTCAGACCTCTGTCTCAGTATACACAGGGGCCATATGCGATTGACAACAAGACACTGTTGCACTCAAACTTTGCAGCGGTAGTTAATTTGTAGCTTCCTTTTCCTCCATCTCAGCAGACTCCTTGGGAACCCGGATGTGACGGCGGTGGGTATGTGAGGTCTGGGACAAATGCCGCGCAGCCTGAAGGGGAGGTTTCCACTGTGCAGAAGTCTCGGGGTCATTATTAATGCATGCACCATGAGTTGTACGGGGGGGGGGGCGTTCAATAAGATCAATCACATTTTGTTTTTAAAGTGCTTTTCATAGAAGAAATGCAACACAAACAAAATGCTTTACAGTTCAGCTTTTCAAAATCTGAGAACTACTTTTATACAACAGCAGAGGCAGAGAGCTACTCCTTTTTGCAGTGATCTATCTATGTTATTTAATGTATTTAGTAAAATATAGTATAACATTGTGGAATTTTATATTTATAATAATAAGAGATATCTGATTTATTTTTTGTATTTCTTATACCAATTTTCTGTCCCTTTTGATTGTGTTTTGCTAAAACATTTGTATAGAAAGTTTTTATTTTAAGAATTATTTTTCCATGGTCATCCATGGTTTATCTTCCTTTTTGTTTTTTAAATACATTATTTTGGTATTTTTGTCATACAAGTTAGCTACTGTGTCTATGAAGGCCTTTATGCCACATTGACATATTTTACATAGACAGCCTCCCACTTCTTATGTTTAAATCTGTGGTTAGTGCCTCTAGGACTTTTATTGACCGGTTTGTTCTTACCGTGTTTTCAGAAGTAGTTTGTTTTGTGTTATGATTGTGTTTGAATACTGGAAATATGGGAAAATAGTCATTAATATCAGTTAGAAATCACACTCATAGTAAGATCTTCATTCATGTTGGTAAAAAATATTGTCTATTGCCTTGGCACTTTGAGATGTAATTCTTGTAGGTTTAGTTATTAAAGGATAGAGGCACATGGTATTCATTGAGTTTAAGAAGTTGATGACAGTACGATGGCTGATAAAAACAGAATTCAAGTGATTTCCGAGCTTTTCCACAGTTCAACAGGGGAACGAGTTCACTCCAAATACAAATACAAAGTTCCAGAACATTTAGTGGGACTCACTGAGGCGATCCATCACCTGGAGCCGCAGATGAAAGCTGTTTCCTTCTTTGTACCTGTGGTTGCCAGATTTGACCCTATAGAGTGGAGGCAAACATACAGTGTCCCGCCGCAGCCCTTTGACGGCTCAGATTAATGGATGTTCGGCTGATGAAATATAGCACTCGTATCAAGGCAATTTCAAAGTCTCTTCAAGCCACTTTTTCCAAACAGAAACAGAGTCAAGTAAAGCCGGAGTATACGGGAACTGTTCAACCAAACTGTATCCTACAAAAGTTGAGATAAACTGGAATTTTGCTCACTCCACGCTACACTGTACAATGAGTGAAATCTTACTTCAAGCGGCAATAAAATAAATCTCTGAACCAAAAATGTGTGCACCTCATACTTCTATAATACTATATATTAAAGAAGCTTGAGCCCATCTGGGACAATCTCAGATGGGCTCAAAACCATTTTAAAAAGAAATGGTGTTTAACTTTGGGGACACAATTGTTACATTGTCGTGACGGAGGCTTTGTGAATGGAAGAAGACTATTTATGACTAATGGTTGAGGATAGAACTAGAATCAATCTCTTTTTATATATTCTACAATATGTAAAAAAATAGGATTCAATAACTGCAGACAAACTGGGAGTTTGGACGTAACACGTGGCGTCCACTGGTTACGTCCAAAACGTCTGGAGCTGTTAAGAGTTCGGGCGTGAACGAATCAGTGTTTAAGGAGTGCGCCCTCCACTGGACATACAAGGAACAAAACAAGAGTCTGTGAACATTCGGCAGCGGCCCCATTTCGGGACTTTTTGTGTCATTGACCCAAATGTAACACATTAGTTCAGTTTAGTTTGGAGTGAGTTATTTATGACACTTGCCTTTAAAAACCTTTGGAAAACTTAGCACCTATGAAACGGAGACAGTAGAGAACATTAAAAGAGACATACTATGAAACCATTTGTACTTTTACACCCATATTGCACATTAGGTCTGTGACTGATTAAGAACAGAGTTGTTTTTTTTTTTTAGATGCATCCACCATCCTCATTTCAATTAAAGGGACATCACTTGCAAGAAATGGTTATAATTTCACAAAGTTTGAGAGTTGTATGTGTATCTGTTATCTGTTATCATACAAATGATTAGTATGGTGAAACATGGAGAACATTTAAGATATCATTTTTCATTCTAACACATTTTAAATAGTGATTTCAAAAATAGTGTGTTATATTCATTAATTTCATCCCTTTATTATCCATTTATGGGTCACAATGCACTAGTCCCTCGCTGATCGTCCCACAGGAAGACAGCTGCTCCTTCAACACAGATATGCCCTTGATCTTTCAGCGGGGACAAGTGTCTTGCCCAGGGACACAACAACAGCAGTGGGAGCAGATGACACGGTTCATGGTGGGATCGAACCCACGACGATTAGACCCAAAGACCAATGCTCTACCAACTGAGCTACTGTCGCTACTATAATGTGTTATATTTCTTCCTCAAAACTGAAATAACATAATTTCGATAGAAGGGACATTTGCTGACATAAGTGTGGACGGAGCAATACTGTAGTACAGTTAAAAAGTGGGGCTGG